TTAAACGTGACAAAGAATTTTTCCTATCTTTCGCTTTGATATTTTACATTGTAAAAATGCATATCCAATCGCGAAAAATGTTATACGAGTTATGGAAAAAAGTAGTTGATAATAAATGTATATTTTCTTTTTTAAGTTTGGTAATACTAATGAAATAATTAAGAATAATTAATAATTATTAGTCTCTCTAATTAACGATTTACGAAAATAATGCATAAATTCTAATTGCGATAAATTGAATCTGCATAGAAAAAAGTAACTAAAAAATTTTATTATTTTATTTTGAAAGAAATATTGGTGAATTTATCGATACGCTGCAAATAATGTGCGATATAAAGATAGTAAAATATAAGGAAGTCATGGAGAAATTTAGCAAAGTGTTTTTTTATTTCTCTGTATAAAGAGATAGATTGTAGATTATAGATAGACTTTAGAAGTATCGTATACTGAATCGTTTATTAGAAACGGCAAGATGACAAATATCAAACTTAGTATCTTTTTTCTATTATGTGTTTTATATTATATCAAAATTGTAATTCTTTTTAGGAAAAATTCATATTTTATAAATAGCTTTGTAGGTTAATCTAGAAATCGTGTTTACACTTTAGCGTATAATATTATTAATAACTGGGAAAATCAAGTTAATTGTTTTATTAAATTAAATTACGTCTGTAAACAAATATATAAGAATCTTTTTACGTCTGTAATTAATAATATCGTCATACGATATATAATTGCATTTCTATAGAGTCAGTTAATATTTGTGTCACATTTTTAATAACACTTTTTCCATTCCTGTAATTTTTACTATTCTCTTTCTCTATTATTATTAGAATCTTATCAGTATTTTAGAATTTTACTACGAACTCATGCATTCGTATAGAACAGTATTAAAAACTTTGCTCTATTCGCAATGTGCAACAATCTAATATTTCTCGAAAGTCGAATACAATGAGAACGACAACTTCCATTAGTATGTCATTGAATACCATCAAAAATAATAACGCGCTTGTAGCATGTAATTATTATCGTTGTCTGTTGTATTGTCGATATCGTCTCTCTAAAATCGATCTAACATTTCCTTGTACAAATTTCCCAATTTCTCTCATCTCGCCAATTCGTTTTGTTCGTCAAGCTTGTCGCGCTAGCAAGAAAGTAAGCCGTGTATATTCTTTCTTCGTGCAGTGCACAATTTACTCTCTAATTTTTCCAGGGAGAATGTACTGTGCGAATGACGACGAGGCATTTTAGCGAAAGTCTGGGCGCGAAGATTAGGGACAGTATCGTTTGGGACAGCGTGACAGGAAGAATGAGAGAGAGAGAGAGAGAGAGAGCTCCGGTGTCTGATTACAAGTTCTTTTTAGAAATGAGTACGAAGTCAATTGTTCATAATTAACGTGCGTGGAAAAAAGATGTGCGCATCTTTCGACCATAGTCAACCGAAATCGTCATATAGCACAATTATAATTAAGTCAGGACGAGATCATCCAGTTAATTGTAGAAATTGAGTACTCACACACATACTTTACCCGTCAAAAAAAAAAACGTCGCGTACAGATTATATTCGAATATATTTATGCGGAGAAAAGAAGAAGATTAATAATAGCAAACTATATATAGAGAGAGCATTAAGTAATAAATTTTATCGTGTCGTGCCAGGTAAGTCGGTAGTAGTTTCATGAGGCCTAGCGTAAGAAAGAGATATAATAATACAAAAAAAAAAGACATGAGAGATATGGATGTTCGATAGGCAGCGTCGTTATATTTTCCATCCGGAGAATCGCAAGACCACGCTCGAGACCGAATATCTTAAAATATCACGATTAAACAATCAAATTGCCACAATACAAAGTGTCGCACGCGGGAAGCAGTTTTCGCGAAAAACCAATTGCTTTTATTTCCATGCGTCGGCGATGATACGATCGCACGAAGTATAATCTTCCGCGAAATCCGAATTCGCGTATACGCGTCGGCCCGATCAAGTTTGATTTTCGTTGATATTTAAAAAATTAAACCGCCCACACACGCGAATTAGAAAGAGAAAAAACGAACGAGACGTAGGTGACGCATCCGATTTTCAAGACATTGGGGTGAAACCTGCGCCGTGTCTTCTTCATATTTCTAACGGCATTCTTATGTAAACAGCCAAAAATGTTTGAAGGATTTATTTATATATCGCAAGTAATTTTTGTTTGAATTCTAATCGCCGAGAGACGAAATTAATGAGGGACTTTTTTCGAGATTATCCATTCACGAAATTTCTTTCGGCGATACCACTCGAAATGAGAGGATGGACAATTTTTCGTCCGGAATTTTTCCCAAGCAGATTAAGTCATGATGATATCAAAAAATGGTGTCGAAATAGCTTTAAAATAATTATTATAAAAGTCGTTAATATTATATAAGTCACTTTTCGATCAATCACGATTTATTTTATCATTATCGCAACCTGTTCTTCTGCTTGGGTCCATTTAAGATTACAAAAGTAGTAAGAGGTTTGGAAAAAAATAAGTTTTAGAAAACAAATGATCGATATATAGATCAAGACAATCGAGAAATACGGCAGAGATGATTAAGTGTGAGAATTGTCTTAATCAGAGAGATTGAACTATCATTTTTCCATATATATTGCTCACGTAATGTTAAGTAAATATTTGATCTTTTGCAAAGAGATATTCCAATTGTTGCTGCGTTCGGTGCGCACGATGCGTACCGAACGTCGCAACAAAATGTTCGCGTGTACAGTAGAGTTCATGCCTGTATAAATTCTATATTCCGTTTTCGCGGTATAATTTCGCTCGCATTGACGTGAATCGCGTGCTCTGCGAGAGATCTCCGCTGAGAGCTGCGCGGGTCAATAAAAATCGGCTCTTCAGGGCATTTCTCGAACGACTTTTGACTGCCAAATTTTACTCACCCGCGCAGCTTCTACGGGTTTGTTTGTGGTTATTCGATATTCGTAACAGGCAGCGTTCACAGGTACAAACGCGTATCCGCCAGGTGTAAGCCAGTACTTCGAGATGTATCTTCTAATTTAAATGGATATATATATTTAAATATATTCGGAGCATTCGCGCAATGTAAGCTGTATACGCAACGTTCCGTATATCGCGCGCTGCAATTATCCATCACTGGTAGCAGCATAGCGAATATATATCAGGTAGAAACGGGAAAAAATAGGGAGAAATCGTGCAGATCGATGAACAGATAGACAGTAACTAAAAAAAAAAAAAAAAAAA